TACTATTATTAGACTGCGGATTTCTATACAAAATGGCATTTTCTACAGCAATTTTTTACGACAACAGTAAAGGTAGGAATTTATTTTTTCTCTTAAATATCCTATTGAGTTCAGAATACAATAGAAAACACATTGCGTCTGATGAAATTTTGTTCTCTTTTGTATTACACAAAGCCATATTGGTTATAAATGCATAAAATCCGCAGTCTAATTATTATATAAAAGTATTGTATTAAAAGATGGATATCGTTATATATTTCGTTCTACATTTTCCAGTAACGAATGTACACGGAAAAAAATCAAATACTCTTTTTTTCGAGGGTGTCGGTGTCTGAAAAATTACTCAACAGCCATGGAGCGTACGGTGCACTGTAAATGCGATCGGCGTTCGCGATACCAGCGAATGGGACGAAAGGTGACAGATAGGTTGAACGATTATCGGAGAATTTCCCTTTTTTCGTGCTTCATACGCTTCCCTTTTTCAATGTTTTCGATTCCACTGGCGATGCATCTCACGATCTCGACACTGGCTTTGTAACGATTCGGAAAATTGATATTGCACTACAAAATATAAATTTCGCGTTGTCGCTCTGTCTAAATATAAGATATTTATTGCAAACGTAAAATCGAACTAGGGATCTTGTTACGTCCGTGTATAACAGAAAATTAACGCTTCGAATCAATCTGGTAATCCCGAAATGCAAAATTCGTAAAGTTTTATGGCTGAATAACGTTAATGGCACGTTTATATTTCACGAAAAATCATACTAACATACTTTCGATAGATCTTACATTAGGTTAGAAAAACGCCAGGTAAATAGAAATTTTCTTTCTCTATGGGATTTCAAGGTGTCAAGAATATAAAATAAATGAATTATTAAAGTTGATCAGAATTCCTAGCCAAGGAGCAACTGGTTTATCCGTAAAACTCAATAATACATATTCAATTACGCAAGAACTTCAGCGTTTATATTGAACGAACCACTCTGAAGATTTTTCTTTGAGGCGGATGGTTAAAGGAGAATACAAAACGAGAAAAATTATAGGAAACACTGTGTCGCACGTAATCTTCTTGTCGAGAGAGGGTCGTTTGAATCCATTTGGCAGTCGCCTTACAGCCGCGGCACCGAAGGACATTTCTTTCCTTCGTGTAAGCATTTGCATTTGACTCGGACCTCTGCGAGGATGACAACCGCCTATACATATATCACGGGCGAAGCTTTTCAACCAATTTCTGCGTGGGTGAATGGCCCTCCGTGGCGCGTTAATGCATACTTACGATAGAATTTTTTATTCCATCCACTGGATGGGATGCTCGAGTACGAGGAACGTTTAACGAGACGATGCGGTGCTAACTTACGGTGCTAATTAACCGTGTACTCTGCATGTATTTTTCTGTATTAAAGTGTACCTTTTCGCAGAACTCTATGGGAAAATGTACAGTGTATTCGAAGAGTTTCGGGAGAGAATTGCAGTCATCAGGTTCAACTACGTGGAAAAAGTACATGAGACAATTAAAACAATTTTCATTTATTTTTCCATTCTTTCAGAACTTTTCATTTATTTTTGTATAATCCTTAGACAACATCTTAAACTTTCATTTGTTAAAAATGGAAAACAAGCAATATTTAATCGCTAAAGAAACATGGTACCTTTTGTATCATTTTTGTTTTGTTAATGTTATAGAATTGTTGAATGTATTTTATTTATAGAGAATTTGTGTATTTTTTTAAGTGGTTCGTATGAAATTTTGGACATTTGTGTGCACAGTAGATAATTTGAAACTTTTTTTTAATGTCTCATATCCGAGGGAAATCTTTCGATGGAAAACGGTTATTGATTACTCGAGAAGTATCTTCAGCATGGAATAAATTAATCAAAGAAAATTTCCGCGTATAGCTTCTTACGTAAATTTTTAAACACCGTAGCTAGAAATGGTACTTTAGTACTGCATTATTAATGGGATCTGATGTATAACTGACCTGACCCCTTATTGGTTGGGTAAAGTCGGTGCACGTTCTTAAAATTGGAATGTATAATGTAATAGAGGAAACGTAATATTCGGATTGAGAGATTTATTCTCTGTGTAGCTGACATTCGGTTTGCTCTGAGAATATTATTAACGATTTATTAGTAACATTGGCGGTTTCAGGTTTCTCTAGTATCAACGTAGTTAATATTTTATTGAGCATTATCTCATATTATTTCAAAAGATCTTATCTAGACAGAGGGTGTCCTGGATTTTTCCTTCAAATCTCAGTTCCAGTATGATCTTTAAGAAAGAATTAAAAAATTCTTTTTAAAATTATTCCCATGCGAAACAATCATTCACACTCGCAGTGCATTCCAAAAACAATTTAAACTAGTGATAACGGACCAATTAACGATGTCGTATTCCGGTGGAGTTAATTGCGCGTCTCATTAACCTTCATTTTTCGAACCGGCCCGAACGGAATCCACGTATACGCGCGCTTCGTTAGCGTGACATAGCATTGTACGAAATTCATTAAGCTCTTCCCGGGCACGCAGTAATTAATTAAGATAGGGCATACCACGGCCGCTAGGTGAACCGACAGAAACCATCCAGCCGTTGCCCCGTCGTGAAAATAATCTAGTTACAACGTTGCAACGAAATTATCGTCGCTGCCGTCGCGAAATAAATTCAACCGTGCCGTCGTTTGTCGCGCGTGATGTGTATTAATGCAATACATATATTGTACGTGACGTTGGCACCTTCGCCGTTCCTCCGGTACGAAGAAGGTTCGATTATGTTGCACACAGAGTGTAATTACGGTCTCGCGTGCCCCAGTTTAACGGGCGATTCTGATAATAGGAATTTCAAGCATAGTTTAAAATACTCTTTTCAGTACAATTTTCGTAGGATGGTAGAGTAAAGATCATATTTACAAATTTATGCTTGTAAGTTATTTTCATAAAAATAATTGAAAAATATAAAAGCTTTTTTACTGCTCCATCTGGTGGTCGCGTTTTCGATCCGCCATTTTCATTTTAATTTATTACTTTTCTTTTGTTAATAATATTGAATGATAATTCAATTGAATAATATTGTATGATTGAACTGAAATTCTGTTGGAGTATACATAAGGAAAACTTACTTTTTGCAATACAATACACATATAATTTTAAACATACACCCACGAGCAAACTCAGCTTCCACTAGGGAAGTTTAAGACGAGAAGTCTTGAAAGCTTGTTATCCACATCGCATCGAATCCATTGAAAGAGATCGAATGTCCCGGAAGCATTGCAAAAGATTCTTTTATGATCCGAATAGATCGGTCAACGTAGAAATTTTCCCACTAAAATCTTCGGGTTCTAGTTTTGGTTCCGTTTTTCCTTAGAAAATATCCGCCAGGTTTTCCTGTCACGAGTTATAATTCATTATTTATTTAAAACAGGAACAAAACGTGTGCATTAGGGGGTTCCAGGTGTCACCGGAAGTGAGAGCAACATGTGAACGTCATGGTGCTATTGATTTTGCTGTACCAACTGACCCGTTATTTCGTTCTCTTTATCGCTTCTCTTATGAAATTCAACTGAAAATCAGCCTCCAATTTTGAAACGATAATTAACGTTTAACGTGATAAAGGTATTTTTGCGACCGTTCACAACGGTATATAGTCCTGTCACAGCAAAATATTCATTATCATACACTTCTACCTTTGCGTATTAATTATGAGTATTCCATACGTATTGTTAATGATTATTTGGAAAATTGGTTACGGTCCAGATGACACGAAAATTCCATTTGGTCCAGACTCATGTTGATCGCGAGCACCAAAATGAAAGTTTGGACAAACCGAAAAGCAAAAGACGACCAATTCACTTCCCGGATAGCTTTTCCCTTTTCTGAAGAGGTCATTACTCGAAGTGGCCTCAAGCAGTTCCGCGTTATACATCGCTGCCACGATAGCGAGGAGACGCGTAATATTATTTATTAACAAAACCCTACAAATTTTCACTTCCCACCGTTTTAGCTTCAAAGCATAGGCAAACTGTTCTTTTTTTAACAATTTAATTTATAAAATTAAAGTACAAATAAGATCACCTGCTTCAACATTGAAGACAATACTTTGCTTTTATCGAACAGAATTATGCCCTTAGATATTGTTACTTTTCACTATGTATTATTAGAGAATTGAGATACTTAAAAATAATTAATCTATTGAAGTTGAGGGGTATCAGTTCGAGCCCTATAGCTTCCAGATAGTAATTCCAATCGGAAGATGGTGTGTGTAATTTCCAACTTAGAATATTTTTCTATTAAATGTAAAAAAAATATAGATTACGAACCTGAATCTAGTGTACCTGTATTTAAAGTAGTGTGTACGTATCGGAGGTTTTAAACCATTGCATGAAGGAGTCCCCATGCCTCTGTTATTCAGCTTGCATGCGAAAATGTGAGTTTCGGAACAAAAATTTCGGGCAAAATCGATATACGGCCGAATTAACAAGTAGAAACGTAGATCAGAGTTTCCCGTATTCGCGACCGGTCGTATCCCGAGCACGCATTCATTTTCGTCGGCTGTAACGTGAATTTAAATCGTATCCTTGTGAAACGCCGCGCTACCCGATGGAAATATTTAACAAAGAGAACGCTGCCTGTCGCGCTGTTCGACATGAAATTTTCCGTTTATTTTTATAATCCGTTTATTTATATTATCGATACTAATCGGTATGAAAATGTACCAGCTTGGAAATAATATTTTTTCAAGGCACCGAGTTTCAATACTTGTCCAATAATCCTTTGAAAACCGGTTAAATAGAAAATGAAGTCGCCATTAATGAGTTAAGTTTGATATTTTAATATTTCGTACACAAGTGCAGGAGTACCTTCCACTCGAGAATAATTCTCTTTTTATGGAATAATAATTACCAAACTGTAATTGAAATTACGGATTAACTATCATAGAAATATCGTACGAGGGAAATGAAGTGATCCATTGAAATTCTTGGTAATAAAATTTATTTAAATCGAAATTAGTTATAAAAATTTATTCTCCAATTTTCAATACCGATAATCATGTACAAATTACGGGTGCGAATAATAAAGCATTCACCGTGTAGACACATTAAATAAACATATTTAAATAATATGTATAGAAAATGTAGTCTTCAAGAACACTGTATAAATTCACAAAAAGTCGTCGATCGGTCAATAGTCCTGGCTTAAACTGCATGCTGTTTGATCCAGTCCAAGTAAGACGTGACTCGCGTGTAAACAGTGGGATACCTTTGAAGTGCGCATCCCATTGACCAGGAGACGATACCAACGATCTTTCCGTTGACAGTAAGGGGGCCGCCAGAGTCACCCTATGGGAAAACATTAATTGTCGATCAGATTCCGAGAGTTGTTTGAATAATTTGTCTTTTGTAAGTACAACTTTCAATAATGTATAATTTTTTTGTAACGAAGATTAGTATCCGTGATTGAAGTTTTTGAAAATAAAGTAATTGAAAATAATTATCTGAAAATTACTCGATAGAATGCACAGAGCACTGAAATAGAACAGAATTTGCATCACTCTGTCAAGGATTCTTTTAAGTTCCAAATGCAGCAAAGGACTGATTGAATTTCATTAAATTTTCCAATATAGTAAATTTTCGACAATCAGACGCGCTATAAATGCATAATAATCTGCAGTGTATTACTCACGTTGCATGCTCCTTTCTCGACCGATGGATCGTTAGCACAGATATGGGATTCGAAGATTTTCTGGCCGATAGATGTGTACACCTTTTTGCAGGCTTCTTGGTCGGCTATCTGGATCTTTGCCTTTTGCAGTATCTTTGGGAGCGAGCCGCCAGACTGTATTACGAATAATCACCGTGAGAATATAGTCACATTAATATTACAAATAACGTAGAGGAGGAAGTGGTTAGTAGATATACCAGGCGACGAAGGAAAGGGAGCAAATAAAAATGAAACTTACCCTGAGTCTTCCCCAGCCCGACACCCATGCGACAGCATTAGCAGGCACTGCTTCATTTGCCTTTGGCATCGGAACAGAGGCTATTCGTTGACTCGTCACGAAGGGCGTTTTTACCTGTAAAATTAATTTTATTTTTTCATTTTGAACACTCATTATATTCAGTATTACTGCACTAGTACAGTAAAACCTCGATGAGTGTTCGAAAGTCTTCGGTATTGACAAGAAGGGGTCTCAGATGTAACACTGGCTTTTTAATGAGGTTCAGCACAATGATAGAGCCTGGAATTCTGAAGTCAATGATATTTGTTTCAGCCATATATAGCCATTGGTTTATGAACACTTATCGAGGATATTTACTGTATAACTGCATCTAATACGATGAGTGTTGTTTAAACGTAGGAATAATGATTTACCTTGATCAGAGCTATGTCATTATTCCAAGAATTGGACGGTTGGTACTGTTCGTGGATGATAATCTTCTCGACCTCGTGGACCGACGCGCGGTTATCCAAGTTCACGGTGCCGGCAACGATTTCCATCCTTTCGGGTGTTTGACTGTTAACAATATGATTAGGGTATAAAATATTGTCCTGTGGCTAGGTAATTATCGGGCATTCCGGTTGATGGGAAATTGCGGAACTTACCTCTGGACGCAGTGAGCCGCTGTGAGAACATACTGTGAATTGAGCACTGATCCGCCACAGAAATGACGGTTACCTGGTGTCGTTTGGAGAGATACCTAAATCGTAAGAAACGATATTATTCTAATGGGTTAACGATTACCAGATTGTGCATTCTGTGCATATATAGCATACCCAAGTGTATAAAGCCGTATAAAATTCTGAATTTGAAAGGGTAATGGAATTTTTATTTTATTTTCATATGATAAAAGTCTTAATAGAACCTGATGAAGTTGTTTCATCTCACCCCAAAGATGGGTTTACAAAAATGAGAATTCTTATGAACGTTCGCGACCTAGTCATCACTTCACGAACTACATTTCCGTCATTTGAAATTTGCATAGCTAATTATCGTCTTTTTATTTGACACTTCCACTTTTAAAAATATGTTCCTTTTACCTGATATGGAATTTCACCGAGCTTAGCGTCTTCACCGTTTACGATTCGGGGGTCAAAGTTGAACGTTACGCCGGCTGTAATTTTGACAAAATACTCTCGTTACAATCTGACCATTATAATTGAAATATTATAACAATAAATCAAGCAATAATTTAAAAACGGCCGAATTCGTAATTCCATTTTGACAAAACAGAAGATTGGAAACACATTTAGAGTCTAAAATGTATTGCCGCTACATTGGAACTATAGTGAATTATTTATTGTAATTGAAATTCATGCAGTCCAGAAAATTATTGTGTATACGAGAGTAGATGATGGTAAAAACTTACCATTAGCGACTGCCAACACCGCAAACAGCGAAAATACTGCTAGAGCCATCTTGTCTGTGCCGATGCCAGAAAGAAGTGAAACAAATCCAGAGGAGACTACGAAGTAATTTCAGTTTGGACCTTGTATATATATCTGTTGATTATCATCTATGAAGCGTTGAAAAAATTGTTATCACGATTGTGATTTAGATTAACCTTTTTTCCTCGATACGTGTTGATATTTACGTAGTTTTATCACGGTGAATTATCATCGATAAGCGGTAATACTTCCGTCAGGGAAGATTGCTTGTTCCAGCTGATTGAACTGTGAATGATCGATGACTCGTTAAACCTCAGATTTTTATTTCTTAATGACCGTATTGCGGTTTTATTTTTCTTGTACGATCAGATAGTATCATTATTTCATACTGACATGTCTCTTTAGTTATTGAATGATTGTATACTTTATAGGGGCAATTTTTCAGATATATGTAAATAACTGGTAAAGAAATAAAAAGGACCAACATAGGGTTTTTGTTCAACTCGACTAAAATGTCTCCAAAACGAAGCTTATAAAGTCAAAAATTATAAAAGGAAAGTTATTTATATCCATTTTCAGTGCTATTTATGATGGACTTTGACGCCATTTTTCTGACCGATACTAAATTTTCCGGTCGAGTAACACTTATTTCAGTTCCTAGGAGGTTAAGTCCTCTAATTCCCAGTCACTATTTTGTCAAAACTAAGCTAACGTCTGGGTAATTTTCTTTGTAAGTACATATTTCAGTGTCAAGAATACATCGAGTGTCTAAATCTTGCGTATCATGCAGTACTTCTCATTACGTTATCAACAAGTATAAAAAAACGTGATCGCTCACAACTTAATCAAAAGTAGCGAACGATTAACAAATCATTTTTATCATTCGCAAGCTTGTTCAATCAGTCTCGTGCCACTTGTGCAGATATTACACTTTCTTTAATTTGATTACTATCTTGATATCTAGCGATAGATACAGTCCTCCATACTTGCAACTTTTGTCTTACTATGTTATAGGGATCTTAATAATGATGATATTTTTTCAAATGGAAAGATTCGTTTTATTTTTCTGTTTATATAATGTTTGATACATTTTATACATTAAGATCGTGTATTTACAGTATAATGACTCTAAATATATTATAGTCCAAGATAATATATAATCCAATTATATATAATTTTTATGTATCTTGGACATATATTTGTATATTATACCCTATACAAGCTCTACCATTATAGAAACCGAAAAAATACCGGTATTTATTTCGGTTTTCGGTAATACATACATATCGGTTCCGGTGTAGCTTTGATACCATAATACCGGTATCAAAATCGTACCGGTTTAAGTCCCTGCATATAGGTGGTATTATATTATTTTTTCTACGTATAAACTATAGTTTAAAACAATGTAATGATTTTTGTTAAGTATAAAATATAAAGTACATTTTGACTATTATATTATACTTTATGTTTCTATCTGTATTACATTCTAATATCATAGTATTTCTGGGACTCTAAACGCAATTCGAAACGATGTCCATATTAGTAGCATAGAATATCATCAAAATTAAAACAAAACAGGTTGTAGTAACAATTTTCCGAGAACGTCTTCACTCACTATACTCGACGGGAATATTCTTTAGGGAATTATAAAGGACACAGTTTAAGTTATATCGGTTATTTATTAATATACGCAATAAATATAAATTTTCAGTTTCTTTTTTTTAGAAATTGTTAATGTACAAAAGCGTCGAAATACATCAATTATGGCAAGAAGTTCGACAATTCTGATTCCAATCTGTTATTTTTTCCAACTTTTGATCTTCAGTTCGAGACCGATTTGCTCGATTTACACCGCTGTGGATTTAATCCAGTTAAGATGGGCGGACACACGAGTGTAGACAGTGGGGTAGTCGGTCATGGCACAACCCATAGCCCACGAGACAAGACCCACGATTTTTCCATTCACGGTCAATGGGCCGCCAGAGTCACCCTGTAAACAGTATAGTTTCGTGTTTTCTTAATAAATAATAAAATCATCACGATATATTTTATTTCTACAATAGTATGTAATTATAATCGGAAGGCATGATAATGTCATTCGAATGGATTTAATATCATTTGCATGAAACTCACGTGGCAAGATCCTTTCGAAACACTTGGATCGTACGCGCAGATTTGCGACTCGTAGATGTTGTAATTGTGCGGCTTGTATATGTGTTCACAGTATTCTTGGTTCGCGATCAAAATGTTTACGCGTTGCAGGAATACGGTTGTAGGGCCACCTTGCTGTAATAATTAATTTTAATATTTAATAATAAATAATTCGACGAATCGTATTTCTAATAATCAGTCGAAAACTAAATTGACTTCCTTGGTAAAATATCTCAGATAACTTCATCTGCGAATTCGATACAACAAAATCAAATCTCTAAGATAATATCATTTACGATATCAAACGAATCGTTTTTCCAGACAAAGTGAATGAATCGAGAAGTTACAACTTTTCGAGAGGTTATCAAAAATTATTTTATTTACCCTGAGTCTACCCCAACCAGAGACTGTTGCTATGGAATTCGGGTGGATAACCTCGTTTGCGGATGGAAGAGGGACGTAAGATATTTCCTTGGACTTCACGAATGGTCTGTCGACCTACAACAGTAAAGAATAAACAGTTATTTTAACGTATTTCTCGAGTTTAACCCTTAACTAGTAAGGTGAAAATCTTATTACAAATCTTGTTACTTATCACTAGACTGCGGATGCTTATGCAAATATACGTTTTTATTGTCCATTTTACAAAAACTGGCATTAAACAGAAATTCTTTAACCTTATTCAGGATTCTATTAAGTTCCAAACAAAACAAAAACTTCATCAAAATCCATGAAATATTTTTGTATACTGAAATTTAAACAATCACATACGCTATAACTGCATAAAATTCGCAGTCTACTTATCACACACAATTAGTCGTTTTTCTTTCTCACGTAAGGAACATTGAAAGAAACGATCATCCTTTTAAGTAATTGTTGGATAAAAATAAAATATTCTAATGGTTTCGTGAGAACCCACCGTATCGGTTAAGGGTTAATGGTTTGTGAATTGATTTACGTTTAACTACCTTCAGCAACGCGATGTCATTGATCCATGAATCGGCCGAGTTGTACTTCTCGTGAATCTTGATTTTCGTTACGCTGTGAATAGACTTTGGTTCCTTCAAGTTTATTGTGCCAGCGACCACTTGAATCTGCGACTCCGTTTTCCTGTAAAAAGTGAATTCTTTTAGAGTCACCGAGTTTTCTGCTTTGGAACGAAATCGTCTATGCTAAACATCTCGATTGATATATGTATTTACCCTTTGACGCAGTGAGCCGCGGTAATCACGTAATCCTTATTGAGAACCGATCCACCGCAGAAATGGAACGAGCTGCCTTTGTTTTGAAGGGATACCTGGACACGAGAGAGGGCGGTTTTTATTACAAAAATAAAAAAAATAAATAAATATTTATTATAAATGCAACGCAATGTCCGCCATTTTGAGGGAATAACTCATTAATAGTACTCATAACACTTCCAAGCCCTTGTCACACATTGCTCTTTTGTCTTTGTCAAACAATTGCAGATCGCGTTAGGAAAATGCTCTGGCTCACCTGATACGGGATTTCTCCTGCCTTCGCGTCCTCCCCGTTCACGATCCTTGGATCGAACCACGGTATCAGCGCAGCTGTGCAAATAGTTGGGTACACAATAATTAGCAGTGATTGCGGATGAGCCGCAGCGCATTAAGTACATAGAGTCTGATCAGTCTGCATATTAACAACATTTAACATATTGATTGCCAGATGATTATTCGACAAAAGTTGATTATGAATCAAGCCGTTTCTTGAACGGCTAACAAATAAATTAGGATTATTACTTTAAATTGTATGATGGGAATTGTGAGAAAAACGTAGGATGAAGATTCAAAGAGTACTCACCATTGGAAAGGGATAAGAGAGCAAGAACGGATAACGTTGACAGGAACATGTTGCCGTCTATGTGTTTTCCACAGACTGAGCTGAAATCCCCTAGCCGGCAATATATTATATACTCGGCGACCCTGTTTCGAAACTGCAAAAGATTTCTTTGGCCCCACCACTCGAGATTAGATAGAATCTGCAATCTGTGTCGTATCAATACATTTTTCGTGAGTAATCCACATTGCGATGATTAATTACTTTCTGATAACACCTCCGATCGACCAGATATTTGATCGACCCGGACCGTTTCCTTGTTTTTGTTCGATCGTGTTTACAGAAAACATTTTGGGGCACTGATCAGACGCCAGCTGTTTTGGCATCGTGTACGATGCAAGAATCATTCGTTCTATGTGTACATTATTTAAATTCATTTCTTCATATTAAATAATTCGCGTATTAATAATTTGTGGGTTAATGTATTATGTTCGTGTTTTTAATTTCTTTTCATTTGGGACATTTTCAGCCGATGAATGGAAATTAATTAATATATGAAATCGACTGCCAAAGGAGTAAAGAATTAAGAAATGGAGTAATATCTATCATTTTATTAGTTATGTCTGCAATCGTTTCAATGAAAAGCAAGAAGTATATACTGTTTTCTTTGCAGAAACATAAACAAATATGATACATGAGACTAAGACACAATAATTGCACGTATAAAATCGTGACATGTGACATTCATTATTATTGTTTTGTTTGTTAATTTTTATCAGTTTGTGTACGTAAGTAACAAACGTAGTATTACTGTACTACGATGGTTATATCGTAATTTTATCAATTAAGGAAATATTTTTATTAAAATATAATTAGAGTTTTAAAGTAGAAAAATATTTTGAAGTGTTCGATGTTAAATTGTCTTTTAAATAACGATTACTTCGGAGTAATAAGTACGTTACTGTAACAAAAAGTCTAAAAATACTTCAAGTTTATTCTGTCATTTGAATGTATTAATTTTTGTTTATCTTTCGTCTTTTTTTAGAAAGATATTTTTTGACATTACTTAGCCATCACCCATGTCGTGACGCATTGGTGTATGTTTGGATTTTCCGTCTCGTGAGATTTTAATCACACTTGACAAGTACTTGATCAGTAAATAGTGACCCGATAAAAGAGTACCGCGTCGAGTAGTGAGCGTGATTGTCAGAAATATAGTATTATTTATCTTATTTGCTTGTTAGTCTTTATTTATTGCGAACATTTAAGTCTAATACGGTCATATAGGTTCTAACCATACATTTTGTATTTTACAATAAAATGGCTTCTATAAGAAATTAAAAATTGCACCGATTGTAAAGAAACATTTGAGAACGTATTTCCATCCTAGAAGATCTTTTAAAATTTGTATTATTAATTCTACAGTAGTAAATATATAATATTACTGTAGTGTACAAAGTCCGTACAGGAAGTAGCAGTTCTCTGAAGTATGTGTTGTTCATTTCAATATTTATACATTGATATCGTATGTCATGTACTATGACTTTCTTTTTCTCAATACCTGGAAGTGTTGTGTAGAAAAAAGAGGCACTTGTATTAAGTGGCTAATAATTAATTTCCGATTCAGAATATGTAGCGATATAATCTTTTGTACGTCACTCGCTGCGCAATTCAGTAGTTTAGACGAATACGGTGGATTGCTGATAAATTTGAAACACTGATAAACGCCGAGTATCAATCAATGCGGAGCTCTGCTCATTCATATGTTGTCGTTGTGATCCATATATGGATTCCGAAAATAAGGTCAGATTTCTTACTGATTTGATCAATTTCTGTGATTTCAAGGTCATCGGTTTTGAGGCCTATGGTTGAATTCTTCCTAAATGCTTAACAAAACTACTGTAATCTCACGAACGATAAATTTTCGTAATTTGTGCACTTTTACCAAACACTTCTTTTGCAATTTAATCAGTTCATTTCTACTGTTATATATAATTTTTGTTTTTATGTTTCTGTGGTGTATCAAACTTTGACTCGTGACCTACAGTTTCGATCATTCGTCAGTATCGAGTTCCACGACGAAATTTTAATTTGCAGAAGTGATTTTTTAAGCTTCAACTTCGAGTGGTAAAAATTATTAAAATTTTTGTGAAACTTCAAGATTTAGATATTTTATAGTTTTTGAGAACCGAAACGTTCGTTGGTTTTGGTGGTCAAAGGATAAACAATGCTCGCGTAAAGATTAGGTAACAATAAACATAATAAAGTGATACGAGCGAAATTTGTCTTCCTTCCAAATATGTAAGAACATAATTTTACCATGTAAACCTGTATCAAACGTGGAGCATAGCCTTTAATCTTCGCCTTTCAGCTATAATCCTCTTTCTCTGAAGATTAGATTTACATCACGTGAAAAAAAATGGTTCGATAAAATGGAACTCCGACTCGTTTGCATTTCCCGGTGTAACACAAAAAATAATGAACTGGAATTTTCAACGATTATGAGTTCATATTGACCCCTTTCGAAACTAATTTTCAATGCCTCGTTAAAGGTACGATTACGCTCCTCGAGGTTAATTCTTTCTCGGACCCAACGTTTCCCCTCCCTTTCATTTGCTCCACCCTTTTCTCCCTTCTAACCTTTGAATTATCCGAAGTATCTCAGCTCTTAAAGTATCGACGTCTACAAAAGCGCAGGCGGAATGAACGATTCAAAGGTTGTCCGAGGAAAACGAGGACTCTTAAACAAAGTGCTCGTGTGAATTATTCGAGGGCGTAGTTTTTCATCGTTTCGAGGGAAAGTCTGGATCTTCGTGGAAACCAGAACGTGAAATGTTATACCGCCGAGACACAGTCTCTCAGATGGTGCTCACGAGATTCCCGGGTTGCCCTAATTCGATGCAGGTCACGTAGAAACAAAATTAAATGGATGTCACAAAAAACATCAAATTCTACAGTATCAGAGTCATGTATATTATATTTATTCTATCTCTTTTTTAAAATTATCTATGTTTACCTAATCTGTCAGAATAGAAGCATTCCGATTGCTCAGTAACCGTGTATATTTTCGTTGCCTACACAAGGGTTAAGGCTGAGCTTTTTAATTTCGAAGACTCGAGTTTTCTACGTCAGTACGTCATAAATACATAAACATCCGTAATCTAGTAATTACCAACAATTCTCGGTAGGAAATCTCGGTGATCGTTTTCGGTTCGACGTATGGCACCGGAAACGGTGGAGCAACACGTGAGTCTCTCTTTCGCTGGAACGAGAGAGAGGCTGGCGTATTGATCCTTACACCACCATCCTGACCTCCTATCCTTTTTCAGCCGGCTGCATTATCCTTCCCTTAATCCACCGTCGGCGAGTGCAATAATTGCATTTAGATTGATCGTATTAACTGTCCGTTTACCTTCGAGTTTAATAGCGAGTCGGTTACGGATTAAAGTGGAGGTGGCTGCGCATTTCGCACGACGGCAGGGGGAGGGGGCGGTCTACCTGGGGGCCATTCACGGCGACTGTTCCCCGGCTCCTTTCAGAGCTTGAAATAACGATCGAGCTGAACGCGGAAAAATTTAGTGCCGCCGCGCGAATAACGCCGAAAATTCACCGAAACTCTTTTATCGGGATCTCGCCCCGATTTCTATGTAGAGCGATTTCGGTGTGCACGTGTGCGTGCGGTGAATTCCGCGGAGACATCGAAAGTAATCTTCTTGCGTTATTAAGGCCGTGACCACGAATTTCCGAGCGTTTGACGTGGTTATACGTGTTAAGTTCTTTATAGATCAATAACACGGATCGGAGACAGGATTTTCTGTGGCATATCCAGTCGATTGTCACTGTCAGTGAGTGTAGTAACTTGATAAAAGTAATATAGAGAAGTTCACTGGATGTTACTCGAGTTCGACAGAGCGTTCTCAATTTGGGGGCAGATTTTTTTTATTGGAGAATGTCGGAGATTTATTGCTCGAGAAGTGAATCAATCATTTTTAGCGGGCAAAGTACAAGTGGATGTTTCATGTTTGATAGAAATGTGATAATTGGAGTGTGGATATTATGCATTGTGAGTGTGTAAAACGTGAAATAATAATATTGATTGTGATTAATGAAATTTCGTTTTTGGTTGTAATCTAATTAAATGTATGGTATAGGAAACAGATTTCGGATTACCTCCTGATTTTTTAGAATGATATAAAATTGTGAATATGTATAAACCTTCACAGATTAGTGATAATACTGAAGATCTGAAGCTTTGATTTCGATTTACAGAATTTCATATTTATGATATTTATATCGATTTCTTTCATAATACTTTGAAGTTATATTTAGAATCAAACAAGTGAAGGATCATTTGTGGGCGAGAAATAACTAATTAAAAAATTAAAAAATCTCTAGTTTGTGTAATAAATTCAAATCTTTTTTATTGATAAAACTTATGACTTTCAAAAGATTGACAGTATTATAATTAAACACAGTTTATGAGAAAATAAGGTACGAAATATGAGTGAGTACAAACTTTTGTAAGTCACTACAGGTATTATTGATGTACAGTGTATACTTAAGTATATGTTTAGTAAGAATACAGATTAAGTATAATTTTCAGAGAATTACTAATAAATTCACAAATCTCAAAAATACTTTTCGGAAATCTTCGAAGAACTATTTTCCTTTAATGAAACTAAATTATTCACAGATCGAAACAATAAATGTTTTTGATAATTATAAATTTCATGAATACATTTTTCAAATCACATTTTTCTAGGAACACTAA